ATGGTTTTTTGGGTGCTGTAGTTCCATTTTGAACAGATCCTTTATTTACAGACGCTCCCACCACTGTGGTTTTGCCTATTTCCATTCATTTGCTGTTATAAATAGTGCTTCAGCAAACACCCTTCATACAGGTGCGGCAAGTTAATTCTGTGTGTGTGTGGGGGGGGAGCCCTAGTATTGCAACAATGTGTCCACAGGTATGCATCTTTTCAGTTCTGATATGTGCAGACTGCCCTCCAGGAAGAGTGGTGTGTGAGTCCCATCGCTACTGTCCGGCCAATTTTATTTAACTTGAAACATTTTGACTTAGTATTTACATATATTTAAAATCATGCACTAGCTTTTTTCCCCTTAACGAGATTTTTCATGTGATTTTCTATCACTAATTGCAAGATGTTAGGTTTTTTAAAAAAGTGATAATCAGGGTGAAGCAGTCCTCTGCTTCCTTGTCTAAACACGTGTAGACTCAGGCCAGCAATGAGGCTTAGTGGGTAACGTCACTGCCACCAAATCTAACCCAGGGGACCCCCAGTGTGGGAGGAAAGAACTGACTCTCCGCTGTGGTCCCCTATCCCCCGTGTGTGAGGTGTGGTACACGTGGGCATGCACACATACACAAAATAAATGTAATAAATGGGGACTGGAGAGATCGCCCAGAGGTGAAGAGCACTGGGTTCAAGTCCCAGCAACCACATGGTGGCTCACAACCATCTATAATGAGATCTGGTGCCCTCTTCTGGCCTGCAGGCATACATGCAGACAAGCACCTGCATACATTTAAAAAAAAAAATCAATCTTTAAAAAAAAGAAATGTAATAAATGATTAAACTGAACCTGATCTGACATGCCAGAACAAAGTCCAAAGGCTCAGGGCCGTTGCCTGATTACAGCCTTCCCAAGAGTGTAACAACGGTCTGGAATGAACACAGACAAGTGAGACCAGTTTGAGAGCACAGGCCATCCTGGCGGGGAAGGCATGGGAGCAGGAGCTTGAAGCAGCTGGTCACGTGACATCCACAGCCGGGAAGCACGGAGAGCTGAATGCTGGGGCTCAGCTCGCTTTCTCCTTTTCAGGACCCCGGCCCGTGGCCTGGTGACACCCACAAGCACAGTGGATTGTCTCACCTCAATTACCTTAATCCGGATCGTCGCTCACAGGCCTGCCCAGAGGTTTATCTATGATTGGAGTCTAGATCCTGTAATAATAATATCAGCCACCACAAGAGGCGTCTCACCATCCAGCCGGGCTCACAGCCCAGGATTACTTAAAATCCTGTTATTTTGTGTGTGTCCGTGTACGGTTGGCATATGCATGCATCATGTGTGGGTGTGCATCCCAGCATGTGTGTGTGTGTGTGGGGGGGGGGTGCATCCTAGCGTGTGTGGCCAGTGGAAGACTTGGCGGAGCTGGTTTTCTCTTACTTGTTCAGGTATTGAACTCACATCAACAGGTTTGCACAGCAGTCCCCTTCCTCGCTGAGCCGTCTCGCTGGCCCTCAGCCCAGTAGTGTGTCTAAGGTTGGAATCTGGGGACGTGCCTGTCATTCTGACCTCATGTGCTTGGGAACATGTGCCATGTCAGTCCCTCTGGAATTCCTGAATTCACCTCTAGTTAACGGAGACCACGTCCCCAAAGCAGGGCTGATATCTATCTCATCAGCGTTTAACCCAACTGCACAGGGTGGAAACGTGTCTTGACATGGGTGCAAAGTCAGGCACCCTCACACTTGATTGGAAATGCCTGGTTGAAGCTGGGCAGTGGTGGCGCACACCTTTAATCCCTGCACTCGGGAGGCAGAGTCAGGCGGATCTCTGTGAGTTCGAGGCCAGCCTGGTCTACAGAGCAAGTTCCAGGACAGGTTCCAAAGCTACACAGAGAAACCCTGTCTTCAAAAACCAAAAACCAAAACCAAACAAACAAACCCCCCAAAACAAAAAACGGAAATCCCTGGTTGATTGATAGATGCTGCTGGGATAGATAGAGCCTCGGTCCTTCGCAGGGCCTGGGAGCCGATTGTCATCTGGTCCCCACAAGTCTCTTGACTCATGCAGCTCCCCCCTTGCAGGAGTGCCTCCTGGTTCCTTGACCTTGCCAGGCACTTTCAGATCTGGCCCTTCACACACACTGTCGTGTTTCTGCTCTCTCTGCTGACAGTGATGACCCTTACGGTACCTTGTCTGAGTGGGCTAGGTATTCCCATGGCTCTGTGGCCGTGTTTCCAGTGCCATTTAAAGATGCATGTGCATATAGGTTTTCCTTCCTTCTTCCTTCCTTCCTTCCTTCCTTCCTTCCTCCTTCCTCCTTCCTTCCTTCCTTCCTTCCTTCCTTCCTTCCTTCCTTCCTTCCTTCCTTCCTTCCTTCCTTCTTCCCTCCCTCCCTCCCTTCATTTTTAAGGCAGTGTGTTACATCTCTCAAGATGGCCTCAAACTCAAACCTTCTGTCCTCCTGCTCTGCCTCTCGGCTGCTGGGATTCCGCGGAGCACCACAGCCCCCGGTTTATGCAGTGCCGGGAATGGAGCCCAGGGCTCTGTGCGTGGTCGGCAAGCAGCCCATCAGCTGACTGGCCTCTCCAGCCCCTGTGTGTGGAGCTTTTTGAATTCTGGTTTTTTAAGAGATTATTTTAAAAATATGTCTATGGGGGTATTTCTGTGTGGAGGTAGATGTATGTAAGTGCAGTGGAGAGAGGGCGCTGGAGTTAAAGGCGTTCATATATATGTATGTGTATGTGTGTGTGTCTGTGTGTGTGTGTGTGTGTGTGTTGTATGTTTGTATGTATTTAAATTTAATATTTAGAAGGTAGTACCCTTCAGGCAGTCAAGGACTGAGAATGTGTTGGGTGGAGGCATGGCCCAGTGGTAGAGTTCTTGGACACTGTCTGCAAAGCCCTGGGTTTTCCCCCCAGCGCTACAGGAAAACAAAAAAAAAAACAAAAAAAAAAAAAAACAAAAAAAAAACGCTAACGAACAATAAGAAGCTACAGTCCCCAGCAGTGGAGGACACCTCCTGTGTCCTGAAGTCTCCTGGATGATTGACAAGGGGTTCTTAGCTTCGGGGACTTTATTTTCTCTCTTTGTTTTGAGATGGAGTCTAAGTGCATACCCCAGGTTGGCTCCGGTCAGATCCGTGTCTGATAGCCCAGGTTGGCCCTGGTCAGGTGGGCTCCTGACTCTTTCCTACATGGACTTCTGTGTCCATAGGACTTATTATCAGTCACTCATCATGACCACTGGTCACTGGGTGTCTCCCAGCCCTGGACTGTGATGTCACCTGTGGCAGGGACATGGATGGGCACATGGAAGGCACTCAGTGTATGGCCACAAGAACCACAGGACAAGGCTTACCAGCTACACCTTAGTTATATGCCTGACAAACTGTTTTTTTTTTTTTTTAATTTGATTGTGTGTGCTTATGTGTACGCACATGCCATGGTGCATGTAAGAGGTCGGGGGATAGCTCGCAGGAGGGGGGGTGTTGTCTCTCCTCCTGTGGGCTCCAGGGTTTGAACTCATGTTATCAGGCTTGGCAGCAAGCACCTTTTACCCAACGAACCATCTTGCCAGCCCATAAACCTGTTTTTATCATCCTTTTTACACTCAGGAGAGTTTACTACATGCTGCAAGGGAGGACTCTGGCTTTCTGCCCTGTCCTTGTGTTTCTTTTATACCTGGGTTGCTGGGTTTTTTTTTTTTTTTTCTGAGATAGGGTTTCTCTGTGTAAGCCTGGGCTGTCTTAGAACTCAGAGATCTACCTGCCTCTGCTTCCTGAATGCTGGAATTGAAGGCGTGTGCCCCCATGCCAGGCTCCTCCAATCTTACTTTCTCCACCCCCACCCCCACCCCCCACTTCCCCGGAGCTGAGGACCGAACCCAGGGCCTTGCACTCAATCTTACTTTCAATGTGCTGACCATAAACACTGAGGGGCCTGAGATGCTGGGCGGCTGTTACCATAGGCTTTATGGAGGAGTGAATCCATGTTAGTAACTGTTATTTTACAGTGTCAGATGTAGTCACAATGAAACCGACAGGTTACATACGTGCTTGATAACATACTCTCTTTTAGAATCCGAGAATGGTTCTCAGGTCCCTCATTCAAAAGAGCAGTGTTAGGGGTTGGGGATGTAGCTCAGTGGTAGAGCGCTTGCCTAGCAAGTGCAAGGCCCTGGGTTCGGTCCTCAGCTGGGGGACTACGACAAACAGACAAAAGAGCAGTGTGGGCAGGGGCAGGGGCAGGGGCTGGGGCAGGGGCTGGGGCGGGGCTGGGGAATAGTCCTATTACAGTTGGAATAGTGCCTACCTAGCACAGGAGGCTGAAATTAGACCCCTGCACTGCAGAATCAGAAACTGCATGTGGCCTCAGCTTGGCTGAGCATGCCTAAGCGGCCCAACTCTCAGGTCCTTAGGAAACCACAAAACAAGGCTGGGTGTGTAGAGGCACACGCCTCTAATCCCAGCACTTTGGGGAGGTGATGGGTGAGACCACAGTCTGCACTGTGAGTTCCACGGGGGTGGGGGTGGGGAAGTGGGGACACCAAAAACAAACAACAAGAAATGAAGAGACAATAATAACAAGCAAGCAAAATCCAATTTCAGTATGCACGGCTTGCAGAGCTAAGGGTATAGGTGTGAGCCATCCCGGAAGTTCTGCTTTTACTGCGGGGTTACTATAGTGACAGGAGGCCGGGAAGGGACGGAGTCTGCGCTACCGTGGGACAGTTCCTTCCGCAGCTTGCTCTTCTTCGTGGGGTGCAGTCCTCTTGCCTGCGATCCTGTGTGGCTTGTGCTTCTAAGGCTAGGGGCACTGAGCTGGGCCGGTCTCTGTGAGCATGTCAAAAAGCGCACCTCCATCTTGGTCCGGAAGAAACTGGAAGAGTCGGTTTCCCCTCAGCGTCCTTCTGGGAGGAAGCCCTGGAGCATGGTTCCAGGAGGCTCAGCCCTAGGAGTGAGTCATCCCCAGAGGCACCTAGAAGGGAAACCCTGCCACAAGAACACAGCCAGGCAATGTGACGAACACTTTTATTTACAAATATAATTAAAAGCCCTGACAGTTAATCATGCTCTTCCTCGGAACCTGAAAAAGGTTTTTTTTTTTTTAAAGTGTTTTTTTTTTTTAAGGTGCATGCCAAAGGAGTAAAGCCTTTTTTTCTTCATCATTTTTTATTGTAAGAAAATACACAGTTTGAAAGGATGAATAATGCAATATTTATGACCAAAGATAGGGGGCGCGGGGAGGGAAGGAGAAATAAACGGAGATGATCGGACTGAAAAAGACATTGAACTCGAGACTGAACTGGAAACCGCCGGGAGGTGGGCGTGGGTGGGTAGGGAGGAACAGGAGGAGGAAGTAAAAAAATTTTGATCAGAGAAACAGTTAAAATACAATATGAAAATAAGCAATTCCTCTCCTTAGATTCCCTCTATACACAAAATACATGATTTGCCAAAGCCCAATTTTGTGCTACTGGGATTCTGTGAGTTCCGTACGTGTATTCGCACCGTCTGCAACAGCAGAGGATGCTGGGATACAGTAGACCAGGCTGACGGCAAGGCAAACTCTTGCCGGCAGGTTCTTAAAAATCACAAGCTCTCTGCACCCCACCCCCCCACCCCGGCCCCAAAATAGTAATAATATGTTACCACTTCATATGTACATCACAATTAGTTCCTGTAAAATGTATCAAATTTTCAATCTTTAATAAAACTTTGTTTTTTTTAATTCCTGATGAATAAATACCAAAAAAATAAAATAAAATAAAATTATGCAGCAGCTGGTTAAGGTGTAAGGCTGCGGATTTTGTGTCTCTCTCCCCCTTGGCATGTATTATTTATTTAGTTTCCTTTCTTTATTTACTTTTTTTTTGCTTTATTTTCACTAGTTGGTGACAATGAGGGATTGCTTAAAGCAATATCCATCTGCGTTCCATTGCCGTTTGTTGGTTGACTGACCCCAGAACCACCTCCAAGGTTTTCGCCAGAGCATCTGTGAGCCACACCGCGACTTCGGTGTGGGTGGTGGACGGTAGGGCCGGCCGGGCGGACCGGCCGGCGCCGAAAGTTGACATGGGGAGGAAAGGGCCCCTGATGGAGTAAGAGTAAACAGGCACTAGTCCGACACGATGTCAGGAAGAGAGAGAGAGAGAGAGAAAGAGAGAGAGAGGGGGAGAGAAAGAGAGAGAGAGTGAAGTGAGAGCGATGCCCGTTAAAATGGGGAATGTAGTTTTGCAGGGTCTGAATTTTTTTGTTTTCTTTTTTTCATTTTTTTTTTTTTTGTAAATGGCAAAAAAAATTTAATCTCATCTATAGTCCTCCTTAGGAAAATCTAATGTCACCAAATTCCCAAATCCCATTCTGAGGCTCTCCATGTCAAAAGTCTCCGTCTCTCGCTCTTGTCTTTCCAGGAGAATCTTGATCCTCTCGCTACGTTCCTTCTGCAGGGCGGCCAACTCCTCTTCAATCTGCACGAAGCACAGAAGTGGGTCTCAGTGCCAGTGCTCGTCCCACGGCCACGAGGGACCCCCCCCATGAGTGTGAGCTCGTGCATGCGAGCACACACACACACACACACACACACACACACACACGAGTGGGGAACAGCCTAGACCTGAGAGCCGGGAGCCCAGGAATAAAGTATCTTGGATTTGATCCACTATGTCTCAAACTTGCTAGGGCTGGGGTGTGGCAGTGGGGTGGTGGGATGGTCGTGGTGTGGTGGTGGTAATGGTGGTGGTAGTGTGGTGTAGTAGTGTGGAGGTATGGTGTGGTAGTCTGGTGGTGTGGTAGTCTGGTGGTGTGGTAGTGTGGTATTGTAGTGTGGTGGTGTGGTGTGGTAGTGTGGTGGTGTGGTGTGGTAGTGTGGAGGTGTGGTGTGCTGTGGTGTAGTAGTGTGGAGGTGTGGTGTGGTGTGGTAGTCTGGTGGTGTGGTGTGGTAGTGTGGTATGGTAATGGTGTGGTTGTGTGGGTGATGGTAGTGTGGCGGTGTGGTGTGGTAGTGTGGTGGTGTGGTGTGGTAGTGTGGTATGGTGATGGTGTGGTGTGGCGGTGTGGTGTGGTAGTGTGGTATGGTAATGGTGTGGTAGTGTGGGTGGTGGTAGTGGTATGGTGTGGTGTGGTGGTGTGGTAGTGTGGGTGGTGGTAGTGGTATGGTATGGTATGGTGTGGGTGGCGATGCTATCTGAGCCTGGGCTGATCCAGGTCAGTGTCTTCTTCCCTCTTGAGTCCAATGAGTCCGAGTGATAGGAGTTTTGTTTTGTTTTGTTTTTTTAATGTGGGTGTTGGGCTAGAACTCAGGTCCTCATGTCTGCACAGGACGCACTTTCCCCACTGGCCATCTCCTCAGCCCCAGCTTTGAGCTGCCTCATGGCAGTGTCCACTCGACACTCCCTGTAACACTGTGTACAGCAAGGCATAATTCGAGGGGGATAACATTTACTACATGTGGCAATATCGACCTATCTTGGTTTTTACTTTAAAAAAATTATTTTTATTTAATTATTTACGTCTGTTTGTGTCTGTGTTTAGGTGTGTGCAAATGAGTGCAGTGTCTATGGAGGCCAGAAGAGGGTGTCAAATACCCCTATTGTTATTATTATTATTATTATTTTTTTTTTTTTTTTTTCGAGACAGAGTTTCTCTGTGTAGCTTTGGAGCCTATCCTAGAACGCTCTCTGTAGACCAGGTTGGCCTCAAACTCACAGAGATCCTCCTGAGTGCTGGGATTAAAGGAGTGTGCCACCACCGCCTAGCTCTCATTTTATTTCTTATTTAAAGAGCCTGCAGGTAATTTCTTTTGCTGAAAAAATTCAAGTCTTATTTGACGTTTTTTTTTTTAGGCCTCTGGGACGCCATGTTGGCATCCCATAGTTCTCATGTAAGTGATGTCATCCAGCTGGCTAAGCTGGCAGGCTTCCTAAGCAGCACCTCGGATGGCTGAATAACCTTCCTGAGCCATCGTGTCCCAGGCCTGGAGGTAATGCCCGCCTCTCTTGGGTACCAGGGGTGAGTTGAGAAGGTCACTGGGGAGGGCTCCGTACAAAACTACGACCCTCCCCCACCCCAGCCCCAGCCACCCCGGAAACTTCCTACCTTCTGCTCAAGATGCGCTCTGCGCAGAGACACCCTCTGCTCTAGCTTCTGCAGCTCGCGCTCGTGCTGGGCCTCCGTCTGCATCTTGATTTTGCTCTGGTAGGCGTTGAGCAGCTCCATCTCCTGCTGGAGCTGTAGTCTCAAGGCCTGGCACTCCGCCTCTTGCGCCTCGTCTAGCCGTAACTGTGGGTACAGAAGACACACGCTATATAGATACACACAGCAGCCCATGCGCACCACTCTGGGGCCGACTGGGAACGGTCCCCTTGTTCGGACTTAGGCGGAAGGGCAGAAACTCGACAGACATTGCGATCTGGATTAGAGCCAGAGGAGTCTGCCCGGGCAGCCACAGGATCCTAAGAGTACATTTCCTTCGGTGCGGGCCTCAGATCCCGGAAGGCTGCCTACTCTGGACGCTAAGCAAGAGCGCTCTGGAGGTGAGCTGGTGACCCTGAAGCCTGGCTCTGCCGCTCCAGGGTGTCACTTTGCTAATTATTCAGCCTCCTTTGGTTTCATTTCTTTTTTTCAAGGAACCAATCATAATTCCCATTAAGGTTGGCATGAGTTTTAAATGAAAGACTCCATATAGGATCCCGAGCCTAAGACCTCCACACATACTACAATGTCCAATAAACAGCAGCTATTACATTATTTTGTTTCTGACAAGACAGTGTCCATATTTAAACACCTTTAACCGTAAAACCATGACATCGTGTAGACGTGTTTAGTGCTACAGAAGTGAATTCAACAACGATTCACACGTGTGAGGACCATACCTACTGTACCTGTCATGACCAAACACATCATGCTGGCCATGGCTGCGGCTATACAAGGCATCTTCCTCGCCACCAACCCAGAACCCCACGGGCTCAGAAATCTCACTCCTTGAGAGCAGCTGATAACCTCAGGGGACGTATCTTGCTTCGAAGCAATGGGATCTAGATTATGCGTGCATCCCGGCCCAGTTCCCTTAGCTTTACATTTTGTACCAAGATGCCCAGATCTTATGTGGAGATGGGCCAAGTTCACCTGCGGAATCTTGAAGGCCCGAGCTCCAAGAGGCTCCTGGGTCAGACCATTAGCATAGCACAGGTTAGGTCCTCTGTACTAGGCAGTCCCTCAGTTTGGCTGGGATTACTGAGGTCAGAGCCCCGAGTCAGACAGCGTGGCTACCCTGAGTTTCTTTGCACCTTTCCATACAGTCCATTTCCCCAGTATCATCTTCATCTGATCTACGCCTGTGACACCTGACAATCTATCCCAGCATGTGCAGTGGGAAGTGACTTTGGAAACATTAAGCTACTTGTAGAGTGTATTCTCGAGTCCTTCTGTGGGAAATATGCCATGAAGTTATGGAGAAAAAGTGTGTTTTCTGAGTCCCACCCTAAGCAGTCTATGTTAGAATCTGCTGGGGGACAGGCCATTCTCTTCCCGTTTTCCATTTGGGGCAGGGTTGCTGCACACACCGTCTACAGCCAGAATAGTTCACAGATGATGTTGAAATGTCCCGTGGCTCCCAGTGAGGACTGTTAGGGATTTTCTCCTGATCTGAGAGGTTCCTTACCAGGAAAGAAAACGACAGCCCAGCCATTCTCTGCTTCTACACATTAGCTGCTGTGAGGCCTGAACGAGCCAAGAGTTTAGACCTCCAATGGGCAGTTTAGACCCTTGAAGTGTCTCCCTCTGAGACAGGGTCTCATGCAGGCCACGCTGGATCTGGAACCTGCTGTGCAGCCAAGGATGAGCTTGAATTTCTAATCCTCCTGCCTCTGCCTCCCAAGGGCAAGTGTGCACCACCATGTAGGGATTACAGGTGTGCACTGCCATGCAGAGATTACAGGTGTGCACTGCCCTGCAGGGATTACAGGTGTGCACCACCATGCAGGGATTACGGGTGTGCACCACCATGCTGGGATTCCAGCAGTGCTGGTGACAAAACCCAGGACTTCCTGCATGCTAGACCAGCCCTCTCCAGCTAGATCCCCAGCCTGCAGTCTCTAGCACTTAGCGATCCTCAAACTCTGCTCTGTGCCAGCTTTGACCACACAAGTCCAGGTACTAGAAACCACAGGCGGTCCAGATTTTGGAATGTATCACCCGCAGTCAGTCACACATACTAGGGCACCCTAAGGTTTATAATGATGTGGGTGAATATCACCCTTGCTTCCTCCAGGGGCTTACACACAAGAGGAGGAGGCAAGGGAGTGTGCAGTGTGACTCGGTGGTGGTCTAGCATACAGCTCACAGCCTCCACCCAAGATGTGACCCCCTCCCCTCCCCCAAATGCTGGAAATGGGAATGCTACAGCCCCTAGGCCGTGCCTGTTTATAACTAAAGTTTTACTAGGGCATGCAGGCTGGCTCTCTCTTACACACACACCATTTCTGGCCCGTTCTGCAGAGGTGAGCTGGCTAGTGGGATGGACACCTCATGGTCTACACAGCTTCTCACATTTATGACTTGTCCCTTTACAGAACCAAAGTGCCGACTCTTGTCCTGAACAGTAGCTAATGTGACCGGCCTTCCTTCAGTGAGCCTCCGGTTCACACAGGTAAAGGAGGGATTCACAGCGGGTACTTAAAAGGTCACACCCGACTCATGGCCCAAGGCCAGTGGTGGACAGCTGTGATGGCCATACTCCCTGGTTTAAGAGAGAGGGCGCTGCTCTCCTCTTAGCCCACATTCCTTACCCTGTGTCTGCCAGCTTACATAACATGTTCACTAGACCTTGCCCCCTTGACAAGGGCCAGGCTGGGGTGTGGCTGGGCTGGCAGAGTCCATATGGGGCACGCATGAAGCCCTGGTCCCATCTCAAGCCCAGAATAAACAGGGTGTGGTGATGAACATCTGTAATCCCAGTGCTTGGGAGGTGGGGAGGCAGGAGAATCAGGAGTTCAAAGTCAACCTTGGCAACATAGTGAGGTTCAGGCTAGCCTGGGCTACAAGAGACCCTGCCTTAAAACAAAACAAAGACCAAGACAGGAATCTACCTGGTGCTAACCCCATCCATCACCTTTCTTGCTCCTTACCTCTCGTCTTTCCCTCACCGTCCTCCACTTACACCCTCACGCTCAGGTTTCTGAACATCTTTGTGAGGTCCCTTAGTGACCTCACCTCCCAGCAGGGCCCGCCACCGCTGAGGGCCTCCTTTCTTCCAATTCCTTCCTCTAGCCTGGACTTTGTCCCTGACTCCCGAGACACTGCGTCACACCCTCCCCGTGTTTTTCTCCCCACTCTACTTCTTTCCCAGCTAGTCCCTGCCAGGCAGGACCTCAGGAAATGTGGGTGCTCCAGGGCTTTAGCCTGGGTCCTCTTCTAACTGCTCCTCCTGAGGGCTCCTGTTTCCTCCAAGAGTATCTCTTGGGCAAATGCTGGCACACCAGAGTTGCCTGGGAGGGCACGTCCTCCAGTTTTCTCCCTCGCTTTCTTCTGTTTAGGTGCTAGGCAGATTCACCTGGGCTGTTTGGTAGACCCATGAGTTCAGCATGACCACTACAAACTCAACTTCCTGCTTGCCCTTCCCCAGACTGTCCCATTGCCTTTTTAATAAGCCATCCCTGTCACCTACCATTAGGCTCAACCCAGAGACTTAGGTCCTTCCTTAACCCTCACTCAGCATCTTGGCCCTGTCCCAAGCACACTCCCTGCACCTCTGGCCTGTGTCTCAAACATGGCCACCTCTCCCCTCACCCCAGCATCACATCTCTAGTGAAGGCAGCGTCCCCTTGTGGCCGAGCAAGAGCACAAACACCACAGTAGGCTCCCGTCGCTCTTGGGGACTCTCAGGCCATTCTCTGTGTGTCTTTCAGGGATGGTCCCCAAACAGCAATATGAGGCCAGGTCCCCTACACTTTAGTGACAGTGCACTGTGCCGAGCGAGGCCTGCAGACCTGACTGTGACCTGGCCCCTGTGCATTCCTGTCTTATTCCCAGGCGAGATCCGTAGCTCTCCACGTCCCAGACAGAACTGATGCCTCCGAGTTCTTCAGGTGGGCTACAGTTTTCCCACTTCTGCCACTATAGACCAGGCTAGCCCTTCTGGGTCCACCGCTCCCTTCCTGCTTCCGCCCTACTCCATGCACAGCAGCCCCCTTTTGATGTGGCTTCCTCTGTTGTCCCCTGGGACCTGGTTGGGGAGTGAGGGATCTCTTATTTATCATGTCCTCTGCAGGGGTGCCTGGGGCATGGTGCAGTCAGTCATAAATGCCAGATGGATGGATGGATGAAGGTATGAATGAGTGCAGCAGCACCCATCAGCTTAGGAACATGTTTCAGCCTCTCCCTCTCCCTCCTGGCAGCAGCTTCCTTAACTGTCCCCTCCGTGTGCTACACGTCCATCTGCCTCTACCGACGAGGATGGCAGAGGGAGTCCCGAGTGCGGTTTCTTCTTTTTATGGGCACTCTTTTATTTTTGAGACAGGGTCCTCATGTAGCCCAGGCTGGCCTCAAACTTGCGAGGTGGCTGAGGATGACTTTGAACTTCTGATCCTCCTGCTCCATTGTCCAGGTGCCGGGATCACAGGTGGGTGTCACCATGCCAGTTTCTGCAGTGTGGAGGATCAAACCCAGGGCCTCGTGTGTGCTGGGTAAGCACTCTGCCTGCTGAGCTGCGGCCGCATCCCTTTGAAGGGGGAGAGCACCTTCCACTCCAGCTGCTGTTCTGCACTGGCTAAAGCCACTGTCCAAAGCGGGGAGGTCACCGGGGTTTCCTGCTCTCGCGGCTCCTGCACATTTGAACCCTCCGGTGGGAACCTTCGCTCAGCCTTCCGTGACTTGCTCTCTCCTGGCCCCTCCTGATCTTTGGGTACTCATCCCCTTTGATCTACACCTACCTAGCCTTCAAACATGGATGGCTACCAGATCCTGCTCCAGCCTGCTTCTCAAACTCCACACCCACCCCAGCCCAGCCCCTGGTAGATTTCACGTACCCCTAACTGTCATAGCTGCCCTCACGAGGCACAGGCATGGGACCTTTTGTCTTTACTCCTGGCGTCCCTTCTGACCGGCAGATTTCAGTATCTGGATCTCTCCACATGGACACCTGCAGGGTGCCACCCTGCTCAGTTACTGTGCCCGGCATCCGAGTCCACCCTCTTTCCTCAACCCTCCCAGTCTCCTGTCAGTTCCACTCTGAAGCTCAATTCTTTCTGCCACCCCTCCTAAATGTCCCCCAAACCCTGCCCAGCCCTCGCCATGTCCGTGTGCCTGCCTCCCACCTCCCTCTTGTGCTGTGGTGGACCCCAGGGCTCATGGCAATGGCACACTGGACATCTGAGACCTCTCGTTGTAGAGTAACAGCTCACCTCCTGCCTCAGAGCCTCTGACCCTCATCCACACCCCCTCCCACCCTGTGTGATACTCCCCGGCTGTGGCAGCTGGTCGGGCTGGCCATTCATTCTCAGACCCTTTGGGGTTTCTGCGTCTTTGCAGGTTGCACCCTCAGGTGGAACTAATGCTTCTGTTGAGTAAACCATTGGCCATTGGGGCTGGGTGCTGTGGGATGACGTCATTCAATGATCCGACAGACCCATTTCCCAACCTACCAACATCCTTGGGATCTGGGGATCCTGGGACACAGTGGAGAACCAGGAGAGACTAGCCTGGGAATAAGACAGGAGGGGTACACGGGGGCCCCCCTTTCTCCTTCCCTTTCCCTCCCTCCCTCTCTTCCTCTTTTCTTCTACCTTTTCCTCCCTTCTTCCTTCCCCCCTTCATCTTCTTTGTGGTGCTGGGGGCCCTCCTGCAAGTGGTCTACTGATGAACTACATCCCCCGCCTTTGTTTCCCAAGACTAGGTCTCCACAGTAGTCCATGCTGCCACCGTCCTCCTGCCTCAGTCTTCTGAATGCTGGGATCACAGCTTTCCTGCTCCTTGACCCTCCAGCTTGGAGCCCCAGGTGCACACTCTCCTTATCTGGACCTTTGTCTATATCGTCGGCCCATGGATTTTCATGGCTTCCTTTTTGTTCTCCAGGTATTTTCCAGGCCAGCTTCCCTGTTCCTCCTTGTCCTTCCAAGGCCCTGGGTACCCCAACAACTAAGGACTCAGTGTGCTTGGCTATCAGCACTCAATGATCTGGCTTCCCAGCCTCCCTGACACAGCATGAGACCCTAGCTAGCTAGCTCCACTGTCTCTGGGCCCAGCGCAGCGCTGCCGGCCGAGGCTTGGCCAGGGTTTATTTAGCATATATGTGTGTGTGTGTGTGTGTGTGTGTGTGTGTGTGTGTGTGTGTGTGTGTCTCCCCTCACGTGACCATGAGCTCAGAGGCAGCAGGGCCATGCCTGACATTAGTTGCGGTGGTGGTCAGTAAACCTCTGATGAATAAGCGTAAACACGACATGTGGTATCCATCCCATCTCGCCCCCCTCCCTACGTGCGCGCCCCGCCCCCGGCTGGACCGGCACTGCTCCTTCGGCTCCATCTTTATAAGACGCATTCCGGCTTGTATCCGAATGGCCTTGGCTTTGCTCGGCGTCGTCATTTTCCTCCGTTCCTGGGGCAGGAAAAGAAGCCGCCCATATATCCTAAACCAACACATCCCCAGAAGGTGCTTGGGAGTGAAAGCCGGATCTTGACGTTCCGTGAGATCCCCAAAGCTCTCGGAGCCGTGGCAACGAGCCTGCCCACTTACCGCCTGAGAGGCCATCATCTCGTTTATACTCTGTTCGTACTGCTCTGCCAAAATGGCCAGCTTTCTCGTCTGCTCGTCTTTCAGTGTCTTTAAGATTGTTTTGTGCTCATTCTTTGGAGTGACTTCCAACTGGTGATTTTTGAGTGCTTTGTACTGTTTGGTCTGTACTTTGCAAGTGTCCTGAAACTGTTTTTTGATTTGCATTTCCATGGCCTGGCAGGGAGAAAAAAAAGCAACAGAGAGAAAAAGAGGGTCAGTCCGCACGGAAGTCCCTGGGTTGTATGACACACAACAAGCACGGGACTCCCACAGGACAGCCAGCAATCCTGAAAAGGGCAGGGGCAATGTATGCCGGAGGTCACACTACAAGTGCTCCGTTTTTTGTTTGTTTTTGTTTGTTTGTTTTTACATGAAATGGATGGAATTGATTTAGAATTGACAAATGGCTTAAGGAAAAAATGGATTATAACAGGGGGAACTACGTTTGTAAGTAGACTGTGGAATATTATGAGACTTGTTAAAGGTTGGTAATTATTTCCCCGGTCTCCTCCAAGTCTTTAGTGGCTCCTATTGTTCGGTGAGGTTTTTTTTTTCCTTTTCTTCCTTTTTTTTTTTTTTTTTTTGGTTTTTTGAGACAGGGTTTCTCTGTGTAGCTTTGCACCTTTCCTGGAACTCACTCTGTAGCCCAGGCTGGCCTCGAACTCACAGAGATCCGCCTGTCTCTACTTCCCGAGTGCTGGGATTAAAGGCATGCGCCATCGCCGGCGCCCGGCCTCACTGAGTTTTCTTTCCCCTGGGCGAGTGTGTACATCCGTGTATGCACTATTCCCTTTTATTTCCACGCTCAGAAAGGAGTGACACCATACAGTCAGCTTCCAAGGCCCTGGCTCCAAATGTCTCCCCGACACTTGAACACTCAGGGCTTCTGCTGGCAGGCAGGGGTCGGGGATGTGCCTAGGGTTTGCCTGGAAGACGTGCCCGGGTGACTAAGGGCGGCCTGCGTCTGTGCCAGCACTGACAACCGGCCTCTCTTCGTGACACACGCCGGTGGCTGAGGACACAGAACTTGGCCAACTAGTGCCATGCTAGGATTAGCTGGAGGCTGCCAGGGCCACCCCCACTGCAGCCGGGAGAGCCAGGCCTGATTCCCAGGCCCACGGCAGATGTCGCTAGTGAGCTACACCGGAGCCCTCTAACTCTGGCTGTGGCTTTGGAGTAGCCTGTTTGTGAATCACAGCCTTGAGGACAGATGTTCTCATTGACTGGGGCTGGGATCATGGATATTTCCTCAGTCTTTTTTTTTTTTTTTTTTTTTTTTTTTTTGCTGGGAGCACTTGTGTCTATGTAGATGGAGGTCAGAGGACAACCGTGGGTAGGTACCACAGATACTGTCTATTTTTCTTTTTCTTTTGAGACAGTATCTGGCAAAAGCCTGGGGCTGAAAAGCAGGCTAGGTGGGTGGCCAGCCAGCTCCAGAAAGCTGCCCAGAAGAGCTGGGCTTACAGACAGCAATTTTTGTTGTTGTTTTCTTTTTATTTGGTGGCACAGGGTCTCACTGTGTAGCTCTGGCTGGCCCAGAGCTCACTATGTAGACCAGGCTGGCCTTAAGGGAGCCTGTCTACCTCTCTGTGTGTAACACTACTATATGTGCCCAGCCCAACTTTTTTTTTTTAAAAAAGATCTATCTATCTATCTATCTATCTATCTATCTATCTATCTATCTATCTATCTATCTATCTATCTACTTATTACGTAGACCGTGTTCTGTTTGCATGTATCCTTGTAGACCAGAAGAGGGCACCAGATCTCATTACAGATGGTTGTGAGCCACCACGTGGTTACTGGGAATTGAACTCGGGACCTCTGGAAGAACAGCCAGTGCTCCTGACCTCTGAGCCATCTCTCTAGCCCCAACTTTTTCTTTTTCTTTCTTTCTTTCTTTTTGTTTTTTTAACATAGGTTCTAGGGCAGTGGTCCTCAACCTTCCTAACGCTGCGACTCCTTAATACAGTTCCTCATGTTGTGGTGACCCTCCACCATAAAATGACTGTTGTTGCTTCTTCATAACTGTAATTTTGCTACTTTTATGAATTGTAATGTAAATATCCATGTCTCCTGACGGTCTTAGGTGAGCCCCTGTGAAAGGGACATTTGATCTTCATAGGGGTCATGACCCACAGGTTGAGAACCGCTGCTCTCGGGGATAGACCTCGCAAACACTTCACTGACTGAAGTGAAGTGTCCTCGCTCACTTTCAGTTTCCTAGCTTTATTTTATATGTATGAGTGTTTGGTCAGAATGTGTCTGTGCACCGCATGGGTGCCCGGCGCCCTTGGAGGTCATGGTTGTGCACTGCTGTGTGGGTGCTGGGGATCAACAATCTGGAAGAGCAGCCAGCGCTCTTAAGCGCCGAGCCATCTCTCCAGCCCCTCTGGTGGGGAACCAGTGGCTCAGGTAGGCGACGGACTGAACAACAGGGAGGGCCAAGGGCCCTGCAGCTTAGAGGGATTCCAAAGCCGCTTCCCAGCCTGCCGAGGGAGCCCTGGACACCGCACCTGGAGAGCCCGATTCTGTGGGGTGGAACACAGACAGACAGGCCGCGGCGGCCCCGCCCCTCTGCGTGAGGATGCGCGCCACGCCCTCTTACCTTTAAGTTTTTCGGCTGTTGCCGAAGCTCCATGACGTGCTTCCGGTGCAGCTCCCGCTCCCGCCTCTTATTGTACTCCAGCTGGTTCTCCAGCTCCGTCTGGTGCTGTAACCGGATCAGGTCCATGCGGAGCTTCTGCAGGGTGTGCAGTTGCCTGTACTCCAACTCTCGGGTGGACTCGTCGTGACGGATCAGCATGGCGTGCTCCATCTCCTTCTGGGTCCTCTTTTTATTTAGTTCCTGCACCCAGGAGCAAAAAGATGAAGGGAGAGAGAGAGAGAGAGATGAGCGGAGCGGACAAGGGAGGGACACACACGGCGGCGCGGTGAGGGATGGCTCCTAATTAGTCCGTTAGTGTTTGCAGCATGACTTAATGAGATCAGAGGGGCGGTCCCTGGAGCTTTGCATTCTGGGGTGAGGCCACCACTCACGAGATGGAAACTTCCCAGCCGTCACAGCTGCACTATCTGGGAAATGGGGTTAATCCCCCATGGTCTTTTCCTGTCTCACAGAGCGGCTGTGGGTCTTCGATTGTGTGAGGGGCTCCCGTGCTGGCTACCCATTAAACTCATATAAGGAAACACACCCCCAAATTCTGACAATTGTCTGGGACTCCCTCCCCCCCATTTCAATTTTAAAGCCTTCTCCAGGTGACTCTTGTTATGTGACCAGGGTCAAGATCTCCAGGTGACTCTGATATGGGGCCAGTGCTGAGAACTCAGTTGGGAATGCCCGCATTGCCCTCAGCTTTCGGGGGAAATACCCTGTTTTTGTACATAACAGAAGTGGGCCAATTATCTATTTTTTAAAAGCAGAGCTTAGGGCATGCTGGGAGAAATCTGAGCACAGCACTTCCCTTTCATCTTTCCCACGGCAGACGGATCGTGTCTAGATCTAACACTTGGTATTTTCAGTTCTACGTCTTCCTTCCTTCCTTCTCCCTCTCTCCCGACGTCTTCCTATGGCACTGGAGACGGAACCCAGAGCCTTGCATGTGCTAGGCAAGCGCTTTTCTGCCGAGCCACACCCCCAGACTGCTGCTTAGTTCTACTCCTGCCTGTCTGATGCTTTTCTCCTCCTTGCCTCCCCTGGAGAGTGGGGAAGGATCTACCAGAAAAAAAGAAAAGATCAAGTAAAAGGTCCTCCCTACTAACCTGAGACTTTTCATCTCTCACTCCAGACTGGGGATTTGAACCTCATGCCCTGGGCTTTGCATCCAGAGCACTGCACATGCTGGGCAAGCGCTCTACCACTAAGCTACACCCCCAGGCCCTTAAGGCTGTGTCCTCAATGCACTAGTCGCAAAGATCTAGACCACCAGCCCAGATTCAGGCCAGCGTTCACTAAGCTGCTGGCCTCGACTTGGAGATCCTCTAATGGTGAAGGAGGTGCTGGTCTCACAGCTGACTGGATCCAAGGTGGGCCCAAGGCATAATAACCAGTCTACTTTCTCTCTTAGGAATTTGGAGCTGTGACTCGGGGCGGCCAGTTGTCTGTGGTGGCTGGAGTGACTCACGGTACATGCAGGGACCATGGGATGATAGTCACCTGCTGCTAGGAGGGATGAGGGCTAGATAAAGCTAGACTTCAGAAGAAAGGGAAGAGGGAGAAGGGAAGGAGAGGGAAGAAGGAAGGGGGAGGGGAACCAGGGAGAGGGAGAGAGAAACGTGTGCAGTGAGTATTTTGTACCCAAGTCTTGGCTGCGTTTCAGCCCATCTCTATGTCCAGCTCTAGTAACAGCTGCTGAGATTGTTGTTCATTTCTGTTTTGGATTCTCCCACAATCCCCCAGACAGAGTCTCACTACGTAGTCTAGACTGGCCTGGAACCTACAACTTAGCCCAGGCTGGCCTCGAACTCACAGAGATCCGCCTGCTCCTGCCTCCTGAGTGCTGCTGAGATTAAAGTCATGGCACTTTTCCTGTATTTCTACACTGTCACTCCTGGTTTAGACCGAAGGACAACCCAAATAAATTCCAGTTAGCATGCAAGCCAGAGAGCCTTAACCAGCGCAGGGAAACAGGGTCTGCACACACTGAAGAGGGAAAAGCGCAGGGCCGGGAAGAGGATGCTCCAGAGAGGGTGTGTGGTGGGAAGTTTGGTGGAAGGGAGCTGGGAGCTGGGCTTGGCAGGGGAGCACCTGGGTGCCCCGCCTCTCCCGGCATCTGTGAGGGGAGGAGATGGGAGGCCTGTGTGTTTACAGGGATGTTGTATGGGTGCTTGCGAGGATCCTGCATATGCTGGCTCCACCCACAGCGTCTGTCTAGCCCTAGAGCACTGCCATAGAACATTCCTTTAGTCACTCAGCAAGCATCATTACACGCGTGCTGTGTGCCGATGCAGACACAGATACAAGGGATGGAGCTGGACCAAGGGCATCCCTGGGGCTCGGCTTGTAGTAACTACAGTAACAGGAGTAGCTATGGTGTAAACATGGTCTAAATGTTTCGGTTCACAAAAGCGGATTCTGCCAGCTTCCATGCTTTTCTTTTTGCCTCTTTATAGAGACTACCAAATTCTTCTTTTTAAAAAAGAATGATTTTATGTCTGTGAGTGCTTTGCCTGCATTATATGAGTGCTGGAAGAAGGCATCAGATCCCCTAAAAATGGAGTGACAGATGGTTGGGAGCCACCATGTGGGTGCTGGGAACTGAACCCAGGTTCTCTGGTAGAATAGCCCGTGCTTTTAACCACTGAGAGATCTCTCCAGCCCAAACTAAATGTCTTCTTTCAAATTCCAGTGAGTGGCCAGTACCATGGGAACCTGAGCCTTCCCACAGGTAATCAGATAAACCCAGGGAGTGCCAAAGAAAGCGCCGTAAGTGAATGAAGGTCCCTGTCCCACAGTGCTGAGCTTTCTAGCTCCACACTAATTCCGGAAACCCAAATTGAGCTCAAGCTGCTCAGAGACTAGAAGTAAACAATACCAAGCAAGTACTGTAAGTAGACATCATGGGCTTCTCTTCTTGAATGGAGTGGCTCTGGGTGCTGGGGGACACCTGTACGGGATGCTCTGGGCTTTGATGGACACCTGCATGGGGTGCACTGAGCTATGCAGTGGCTGCTGACCAATACTAACGTTCAGGAGTCATCCAAGCAATGCTCAGGTGAGAGTCGGCTTTGGTCCTTCTGGTGACTTGAGGTCTGTGGCTTTGGCAAGCTTCCTATGCAGAGAAACCCCTTAACACACAACTTTAGTTTCTTCAGGCATAAGTTCAGGGCCTTCCCACCCAGCACAAATAATGCTTGTGAAGATGATATGGCAGATCCCACAAAAACGCTTCAGAATGTAACCATGCGTCATTGTTTTTCTGTACTTAGAAATGAATAACTGGCATAGAGTATCTTACACTTGGTTTTGCAAATTATTTAGAGAATCTAAGTATGGTAACAAAAATGGTGTTGGGGTGCAATTTCTAGGCTGGTCCTTTGTCGGAAATCCTATATCTAAGTTTAGAGGTATAAGACGGCCAGCTGCATGTAATAGTTCCAGCCATGGGAAGCCTTTTCCTATTTTATTTCATATCTGTTTTATGTCTGAGTCCAATGCCATGCCTACATGACAACATGCAATGTACTTTCAATTTTTTTCTTTTATGTGGGAGTATTGCTATGGTGCCCAGGCTGGTTCCCAACTCCTGCACCCAAGTAATCCTTCTGCCTCAGACTCAGCCTTCCAGACAGTGGGGACTTCAGGTATGCACCACTGTACCCACTTCTCAATTAAAAAAATTTTTTTTTTCATACAGCTCACCGAGCTCTAACTGTGCCTCTCTGTAAAGTGAAAACCTTGCAAAGATTTTATTTGTTTGTTTATTTATTTATTTTTGGATAGTATAGATGGCCTGGAACTCTATGTAGACCAGGCTGGTCTTGAACTCATAGAGATCTGCCTGCTTCTGCCTCCTGAATGCTGGAATTAAAGGCATGTGCCACCACCCTGAGGGCTCCTTATAAAGACTTTTATATGTAACCGTGAGGCACTGGGGAGCTGAAGGTCTAAGATCACATACAACTTCTGTGCAGTTGAATAGAGGCTAATAAAATTCTGGTTTTCAGGTTTGCAACATTTTCTGTGAAAAGATATCCCAGTGAGTGTATCTTCCTGTGTTAGAATGCTCTAGACACTAACGACACATTATATGTTAGAGCCATGCATGCCTGTGGCTTGTATACAATTTTTAAAAAATGAGCTGAACCATAGTTGATGGCATTGGGACCCTGCCTGCCAAGCACTCAAGGTCCACATGCCCTGGGGGGAGGGGGGCGCTGGGCAGAGGCTCCCTTTGCCAGGAAGGGATTCTCCCACTAAGCAAAATCTCCAGCCCTTCTCAAGTGGTATTTTGAGACAGGGTCTTGATAAGCTTCCCATGCTGGCCTCCTGACTCACGATTCTCCTGCCTCAGCCTTCTGAGTGCTGGGATCATGGGTGTGTGCCACCCACATCTGGCTTAGAATTCAAACTTCACAATGGTGCTGCTGTTGGACTGTATATTTAGCGATTTCTTAGTTCTGGTGTTTGGAGTTCTGGTTCTTGGACAGGGTTAGGAAGACTCAGACAGACATTGGTGTTCCTTTACACCTGCTTTGTGAGCTAAAAGAAGTCTGACAGCTCAGAAAGGAATGAAGGAAGTTATGTTCGCTGGTAGAACTACAGACTCCTAAGAGAGTGACTCGGTAGCATCTGTCTGTCTGTCTTTAAATTTTTATTACTCTATGAGTGTACATGCGTGGGTGCATGTGGTTTTCAGGGATCAAGCTCAGCAAGTGCCTTGCACTGGGTGGTTTTGTGTGTCAACTTGACACAAGCTAGAGTCATCAGAGGAAGGAGCCTCAGCTGAGGAAATGCCTCCTTGAGTTCCAGCTGTAAGGCATTTTCTCATTTAGTGATCAATGGGGGAGGGCCCAGCCCACGGTGGGTGCTGCCAATCCTGGGCTGCTGGTCCTGGGTTCTATAAGAAAGCAGGCTGAGCAGGCCATGAGGAGCAAGCCAGTAAGCAGCACCCCTCCATGGCTTCTGCATCAGCTCTGGCCTCCAGGATCCTGCCCTGTTTGAGTTCCTGTCCTGACTTCCTTCAGTGATGAACAGCAATGCTGAAGTATAAGCCAAATAAACCCTTTTCTTCCCAACTTATGCATGCACTGAAATGTTGAATGACTGATTTTTTCTGCAGTGCTGGGGAAGGAACCTGTAGTGGTATTTGCTTCCAAGGTCATGGGCGGAGCAAATATCACTACAAG